CAGAGCAAAGACAGTGCAAACTGCAAACGGGACCCCCAGGCACAAAGCTCAACCCCCCCAGAAAGGCTGGGGCACCTGGGCTCTCCCCGCTGCTGCCTGTGATACACAGTGGAGCCTTCCCAGCACTGGCACAGCCCTGCATGCCCCCCATGCTCAGCACTGCACAGCCCACAGCTGAGACCAGCCCTGTCCCACTGAGCACCACGCAGCCCCTGGGACGCTGCACTGCCAGTGGCTTGCCCTGGGTGTGGGGGGGCCCTCCACCTCCATGGGTGGGACAGACACCAGCACTGTCCCCCTGAGCCATGCCCTCATGCCCTGGCTGCAGCTCCCTTTTCCCCTGGCTCTGCTGCCCCTTGAAATCTGGCTTTCCTGGTGCCTCTCACTTCCACTCCGTAGCTCAAGGGCCCCCAAACTCCTCTGCATACCCAAGCATCCCTGAGCAGCACTACTGCTCCTATGCAGCACCAGAGACCTGGAGCAGGGGCAGGAGGAGGGTGCTATACTCAGCTGCACCCCACACCCTCATCTTTACTCCCTTAGCTGAGTTGGGTGTTCACAGCACTGGAAGGGCAGGTGCCCTTACGCTGATCCCTGGGCAAGGGAAGGCAATGCAAATGGCCCCAGTGCAGTTCCCTGTCTCACAGGGGTGCAGCCTGGATGGGAGGACGGTCCCAGAGGCAGGATGCTGGTCCCATCAGTTCTCATTCAGCCAGCATGGGTGCCAGAGAAAGAGCCTGCAGTCCCAGCCCCCCAAGCTGTGCCTGGGGGCAGAGAGAAGCAAGGGACTAAGCAGGGGGCTGTGGAGGGCACTGTGCTGTGCCATGCCATGGGGACCGCACAGCACAGCTCGGGGTCTAGGCAGGCTGTGAGGCCAGAGACAGCGTGACAAACAGCCAGAGGCAGTGCCTGCCTCCTGCCCTCATTAAATCCCCCCTAACGAGCTCAGCACTGAGCCCTGGGGCCCAGCTGGACTCAGAGCTGGTCATTACTGCTGACAAGGACCTGTCAAAGTGGGAGATGTGGTGTGTGTCCCCTCCCATGCACAGCACAGCTAGTGGGGTCACACTGTGGGGTGGCACCTACCTCCAAACCTTGCCGGCTCTCCTTGGGCCTTCCCTCCCAGCCAGGCAGGAAGGTAAGCATGCCTCCTCGCCAGGTGCCAGTGCAGGATGGGCCCCCTCTCCTTGCTCACACTGCTTCTTGGGGATGGGGTGAGACTCAAGGTGCAGGGAGCTGTGTGGGGACTCTGGGGCTCCCCCAGCAACACTGCTGGGGCCAAAGGGAGACTCGGGAAGGAAGGAAGGGGCACAAGGGGAGAGCGCAGGCAACCCTGAGGAGAGAGGCTTTGGGCCAGGTGGGAGACAGCGATGGCAGGGCACTGATCAGGGCGGCAGGGAGCTCTGGACAGGAGGACAGGGCTGTGGGACAGGACTGCTGCCGAGCCTGGGATTTTCCCCTCCAGGCTCCTCTCCCAGGACCTGCCTGGAGTGGGAGAGATGCAGGAGGATGACGAGCACAGCCCCCCCTGCTACTCGAATCCCTGAGCAGAGCTGCTCCTTCCCGGGAGCACCCTGGCACAGATAAGGAGCCCCGGTGATCCCCAGGGCACGTTTAATCTAGGACAGGACAGTTATTGGATAAATACCATGAATATGTAAATTGCATTTATGCTGATTTACGGCTGGGGGGGCAGGTGGGGAGCGGAGATGGTTTAGTTTAGTTTAATGCATTTATTTCCCTGCCTCGAGATGGAGAACAATCTCTGAGCACTGCATCTGCCAAGTCAGAGGAGGTGATTCAAGCAGAGCCATACAGACAAGAGAATGCCAGGATGTAAGGGGCCTCACCTCACGCCGGGCTCGATGTGAGGGGCCTCACCTGTGGGGACAAGAGGTGGGCAGGCCATCGCATGTAGCACCCAGACATCTCCACCTCCACTGCACTTCCCTGGGGTTCACTTCACTCACAGGCACACAAGAAGAGGTGTGTGAGAGGCAGGTGCCCCCATCCCCTCCATGCCAGTGTTGCTCTCCTGGGATGATGTATGGATCCAGAATAGGACCAGTGGTATTTCAATTAATTTCCGGGCCTTGCAAAGACTGCTGACCTTTCATGAGATGCAGAGAGAAATTGAGGTGATTAATCTGGCAGGTCAGGGTGGCTCCTCCACCCTGACATTCCCTATGTGTTACACGGGGTGGGGCGAGTGGCAGACCCTTTGCATAAACTAGTTGCAAAGGATTTAGCAGTGAGATGGCGAACGTTTCCATGCCAGCAGAGTCACAGCCCCTCTCTGCAAACAGCTGGCTCACACCCAGGGTGTGGGCACCAGGAACGGGAAAAACACGAGCAAAACCAAACCCTAAACTTCTGCTCAGCAGCCCTACAACTGGTGTGCGCACACCACAGTGCCTCTGGAGTCTGTTTTCCCCTGAGCACACACACCCATGCCCACTCCAGGAGAGCCTTCAGCAAGGGGCCTTCCAGGCTGCGTGGGGGGGCAGACACAGGCACCCAGCACCACCCATCCTCCCTCATGCAGGAAAGCCGGGACACTCTCAGCCCACTGCCCACCGGGTTCAAATGACTCTTCCCCACTGCTGCCTGCCCCTCACATCTCACTTGCCATATAGCTACTCCCCCCCTGAGGAAGGACAACAGGGGCTGGGCTGCACCAGGATGGAGGGAGCACCTGGGCAGCCAGGATGCACATGGTAGAACTGGGAGGGGGGAAGGGATTCACCTCTTAATATCCTATTAACTGCTGATCAATCCAATTAGATCCTGCATGTAATGAAGGCCATCTGCTTCGTAGGGCTGGGCCTCAGCATTCCCCCACCCCCCCACCCCATCCCAAAGCATGTGCTGTCCTGTGCAGCAGCTGGAGTAGTCCATGAGTGCTGTCAGGGAAGGGGTCTGGGGATGGGAAGCTGATGAGAGGGGTTTTACCCAATTTTCCAGATGACTCTAATTAAGTTGTTCTCTTCAGCTGTTAAATTAGCTGGAGCACTCCCCCTTTCCCTGGGTGGTTCCCCCTCTTCCCCTCCCTACTTCTCAGATTCAGCAAATCAGCTTCCAGCCCCCCCGCTTCCCCCCCCCCGCCCCCCCGCAGGGCTCTGCAAATAAATAAATAGACAGTCCCAGTAAAATTAACCGTATGAAGAGCTGCAAATGAGGTGGAAAATTTTAATGGTTCGGCATTTAAAAGCTATCTGACAGGAGGTAGGGACGTGAGTGAGCCGGGAGGAAGCAGTCCTGGGAGCTGTGTATTGCCCCCCTCCTGCCTCCACCCCCAGGCCCTTCACTCCTCCATTTCCATTTTTCTCACCTGCCCTAGAGCAGCGCATCTCCCAGCTGGTGCTTGAGATGTTGGGATTAGGGGAGCACCCCCGATGTGGGGACCGGGCGTCTGCGCCCAAGCACACACACCCCCCCCCCCCATCTGGCAGCAGCCTCCAGAACACCTCCGGGGCCAGGAGACCCTGTGCCTTCTGGCCCTTCGTGGTGCCACGCAGGACGTGGCAGGGGCCAAGCCCGGTGGGTCGGGACTGGCAGCTGACTGGGCCGAAGACCACGAACCCCCCCCCCGCACAGTGAGCTGGCAGCGAGCCCCTGGGTGGACGGATCCGTGGAGGGGGGGTGTGCCCGCTTCCCCGCTCCATCACTAGGAGCTGCTCCTGGGCACCTACAGCCCCGCACAGCGCACTTGGCCAACGAAGGTGGGAGCCAGAGCCCCCCCCCCCCCCCCAAAAGACGCGGGGGGGGGGGGGCGGCAGAGCCACCCCCGTGCCCCCACCCCCGCCCCACCGCTCCTGCGGGCGCAGACCCTGCGCCGACCCCTCGATGCGCTTACATCTCCCGATTATTTTGCGGGCAGCGGGAGGGAGGTGGGGAGCGGCGGGGCCGGGCCAGGGCGAGCACGGGGACTCGTCCCCACGCCCCTGCCCGTGGCCCCCCCGGCGCAGCCCTTGGTGGCGGGGCGCTGGGGGAAAGGGCCGGCAGCCCTGCGACGGGGGGGGGGGGGGCTGGGGCTCCTGGGGGCCGCTTTGCCCTCGGATCCCCCCCCCCCCCCCCTTACTTGTCAGCGAGTGCCCGGACATGAATATTCATGTAGATGGTGGCGGGTGACAAGGATGGGGGTCGCGCCGCCTGCACGGCAAGCAGCTGGTCCCGAGGGACCGGCAGCGACCCCCGGCCCCGGGGTGTCGCGCACGGGGAGCGGGGGGGCAGCGGCACACGCACCGGGGTGGGGGAGCGGGGACCTTCCCCCGGGTCATTTGCATATTTTTGTGCATACGGAGGGACCGCACGGCGCGCCAGCAGCGCCCCCGCCCGGCCCGGCGGGTTCCATCGCGACCTCGCCGCGACAGCCGCCGTTACCGGGCCGCCGCGTCCCACGGCTGCCTGTCGCCATGGCGACGGGCGGCACTGGCCCCCCCCGTCGCCGTGGTTACCGCCCTGCTCGCCCCCGCTGTTACCGCCGGCGTCACGGCTCCGGGACGTCACGGGCCGCCCTCGGACCCTGCGGCCCGGCCCCAGCCGGGGGGGGGGGGGGGGCGCCGGCTGCTCCGCCCTCCCGGGCGCTGTTCCCGGCCCAGTGCCCCCCCCCCCGCCCCCGCGTCCCAAGGACTCGTCCTGTCCCCGCGATCCGTCACCTGTTGCCCGCAGCCCCGATTCGGGCCCCACCGGGCCCCGCGCCAGCGGTCGGCCCCGCGGGGGGGGGGGGCCCACGCTGAGAGGGGCCCCCCCCCCCGGGGATGCGAGGGTCGGGGCTCCGGCCACCCCTCCCCTGAGCCCCGGCGGCTGCTCGGACCGGCCTTGGGCTGCGGGGCCGAGGCAGGACCGTGGATGCTGCGTGGGGAGGGTGGGGGGGGTTGTACGTGCAGGAGCTGGGGCCACCGCAGCACCACAGTGACACCAGCACCCCAACACACACCCCCCCCCAGCACACACCAACACCCGCCCCCCCCGAACTCCAAACCAGGGAGAGCTCGGGGTGTGGGAGCAAGACATGTATTGTCAAAACACAGCATTACAGAGCCCAGAGCCGCGGCACAGGGCGACATCGGCACCCCCGCAGCACCCACCTCTTCAGGCAGAGGTGGCCAGGTAGCCTCCAAAGCGAGTCTGGGGGCGCACCCCCTCCTTGCACCTCGTGTCTCCGAAGGCACCAAAAACCCCATGGGGGAAACGGCCCGAGAGGCACCTCCCACACCCCAGGCCTGCTCTGGTCCTGGCAGAGATGGTCCTCACCGGAGATGCTGTTGCTGCAGGCAGCAGGGACTGCCCTCCCCATCCCCATCCCCATCCCCATCCCCATCCCCATCCCCATCCCCAGCAGCTCCCTGCAGCCAGGGCCTCTCTGTCCCCCGAGCTGGGGGGCCCTGGGACCCTGCCTCAGTCAGATCTCCTGCAGGAAGTCCACAGGGAAGAGCCCCACTTTGCGGCCGGTGTAGACTTTCACGTAACCATTCACCTCCTCGCCCTTCTGCACCACGATCTAGGGGCAAGAGGGTGCAGGTGAGACTCCCGGGGTCCCACAGAGCAGGAGGGAGGTGGCAACCCCCAGGGAGAGGGGCAGAGCGCATTTCATCCCGTGGGCTGGGGGCGGTGGGCAGGATGGGGATGCCAAGGCAGGCCAGGGCAGAGAGCAGCTGTGGGTGCTGCAGGGTGCCAGGGCAGCCGTGATGGGGGGGGGGCATGGGGCCTGGAGGGAGTCTGGGGGGTCCCATCTCACCTGATCCTTCTTGAGGGTGATCTGCCCAATCTCCCGGTTGCCCACGAAGGAGCGTGTCACCTTGTGCACCCGCTCGCCTGCCCGCACCCTGATGATGAAGTTTGGAGGGAAGTAGCCAATTTTTTCACCGATTTTCCCCTGAAAAAAGTCAGTGGATGGATGCGAGGTGAGGGTTGAAGCCAAGCTGTATGGCCCCCGATTCCTCTGTGACAAACAGCCTGCAGGTTGTGGGTTGGCATGAGGACACAGCAGATTTAGGGGGCTGTGTTCCCCCTTAGAGTGCAATTTGCTCTCCCAGCTGACCTCTCCCTTTGCTTTAAGCTCTGCATCTTTTCCCTCTGTGCTTGTAGGACACCAGCCTTACCCGCCACCACTCCTCATTGGAGTCATCGACCACTGTGATCTTCTCCCCTGGCCTGCAAAGGGAAGGAAGGGCTCAGTGTGAGAGGGGACAGGGACCCCTGACATGGAAGACCCTGAGGGTGGCAGGGAAAATTCCTCTTCCCACAGCACCAGCTCCTAGAGTCCTGTGCCAGGGGACATTAAGGAATGCACAGAGCTCTCAGGCTCAGGGACATGTGACAGGTCCTGTATGTGAGCAGCTCAGCCTCAGGCTTGGGGTGCAAGAAATCAATGGAACTACATCAGGATAAACCAGCAGCCTTGGAAACGAGGCTTGTGCCCAAAACCTGTGACAGCTGGCCCAGAGAGAGCCAGGGCCCCCACTAGATGCATGCCTATTGCGGCGGGCAGAAAAGCCGCATAACGCAAACCACAGCCAGCACAGCTCTAGCTTCTGCCCTCATTCATTCATTCACAAACCCCTCCTGGCCATGGAGCCTCACTGCTGAGATGAAGACTTCTCCCCCTCCCCACTGGACACCCCATATCCTTCCCCTCATCACCCCTGTGTCCGCTACATAGCTGGGAACTTACGGGAAATCCAGGTCATCTTTCTCCAGGGCTTTGAAGCGATAAAGTGCCACAAAATAGTGAGACTGCAGGTAGCCACCACGAATCCCTGGCTGTGGCTTCTTGTTCTGGGGGAGAAGGAAAGAGGGGTTCGGGGCCCCAGAGAGGTTGAGGACAGTCCTGCAGCGCCCAGCAGGGAGTTCCCTGCAGCCCCTGCCCACACTGCTCTGAGCCCAGGGGCCTTTGGGGTGTAGGGTGAGGATCACGGCTACCTTGTCATCTGTTGGGCTCTTCTCAGTCTTCTTGTCCCCTTCAGAAGTGCCTGTAAATAAGAGGAGGGAGGTTACATCTCTCCTGGTGCTGCCTCTCTGCCCCAGGACCAGCCTCCTCCCAAGGATCTCCTCTGACCAGGTCAACAAGAGGAAGCAGAGAATGCCCCAGGGTGGAGGCCTGTAGACCCCCTTTCTGCAGGGCAAACCCCACCCCTGTGAGCCCCCCAAGCACAGTCTCCCCACTAGGCTCCCCCCTTGCCCACGCTTGTGGCTGGAGCTCAGCCCCCCACTTCAGTTCCTTGGCCCCCGTGTGCAGCCAGCCCTGCTGCGGTCACAGCACTCACCACCCTCGGTTTTGCTGCCTTCTGGCTTCGTGGCCTCGGGTTCCTCATCCATCATAGCAGCTAAAGGCTGCAAGGCAGAGAGCTGTCAGGGGGTGCAGAACGGGCAGGGAGGTGGGTGGCAACGGGGCACAGGCTGTGGTGCCAGGACCCTTGGGCATTTGGAGAGACACGCCAAGCCCGCACTCACATTTTTCTTGTCATCCTGCCCTTTCTTGCGTTCCTTGTTGGCCATAATGACGCCTGTCCGCAGGGTCTCGAACACGGGGTCGCTCCTGTTGGCTGCCGCTGGGGCGCAGGGGTGGTGAGAGGGATTCAGCTACAGGACGCAAGGAGATGGGGCACCCCGGCGTGGGGACAGTACTTACAGAGCAGCTCCTTGACACAGGCATATTGCTGGTCACTGTAGAGCGGCGAGCTGTATGCCCGGCGAAACCCTGGGGGCTGGAAGGAAAGAGGAGGTCAGAGCACCAACCATGACCCAGACCCATGGACCCTCCTGTGGGAGCTGAGGGGGGGGAGTGGGTGGATGCTGGGGACCCAGAGGGTGACGCCTGGGTCCACCCCTCGGAGCCAGGAGGAGAGGTAGGTCATGGAGCCTGGGTCATGCCTGCAGGGACCGAGCCTGCTGCTCCCTGCCGCAGTGCTTTGGTCTTCCCTGCGAAGAGGTGCCCCAAGCCCAGGGCTGGTGGGAACACTCACAATTTTGCCAAAGCAGCGCTGCATCTCCACGTAGGACTGGCAGTGGTGGTGGATGTTGGTTTTGCAGTTCTTGCATCTCAGGCCAAATTTGTTGTTGACTGGCCGGGGAGGGGGCAGAAGGCAGAAAGGAGAGGCAATGTGACGCTGCAGCTGTGGGGCTGGAGCCCTCATCAGCCTTGGCCCCCTGACCCAGCCCCCTCAGGACTTACGGACAATCATGCGGGCACAAACATCACAGAACTTGGGCTTTTTGAAGTAATGATCTTTGAACTTGTGGGGTTTGTCATTGACAAGTTTCTGGGGCTCGGGAGGGGGCTCAGGTTCCTCCTCCTCTTCCTCCTCTTCCTCCTCCTCATAGATGTAGTAGATGGGTCCCCCTGAGGGGCTGACCAGCTCCCCATTAGGCTGTGGCTCTGGTGCTGTCTCCTTGGGCTTTCGCTGGAAAAGTTGCTTCAGCTTCTGTAGCTGCTGGGGCATGAGAAGATGCATTGCACATGGCAGGCATGTGGGGTGAGGCAGGCAGAGAAGCTGGAGCCTCGTTCCCCACCCCTTTGCTCTGACCTAGAGACTTCTCCTTCCCCAGGTGGGAGAAGAGCCCAGGCACCCTGGGACAGAAATGCTGTGAGGACAGGTAGCCTTCTCGCATCCCCGTGGAGCCCCCACAAAAAGGGAAACTGTCTCCTGAGCACCATGTGGATGTGGACACCCTGGGGAAAAGCCAAGCTGGGAAATGGTCACCCACTGCCCTGCTAGATCAGGATCCCACCAGACATGCCCAGCCCCACAAAGACTCCTGGGGCTGAGGCAGACGTGAAGCTAGAAAGGTGGCTTCCCCCACCCACCCAAGCTGCCCTGTGGGCACCCACTTACCCGGCTCTTGGGTTTCCCACCTGACGCAGGTGAAGCTGGTGGATCCGGCACTTCCTTCTCTGTCATGCTACAAGGGGAAAAGAGACACATCATGTTGGCTGGGGCTGTTCGCACTGCGGGTGCCCCGTAGAGGCAGGAGCCACAAGACCTTGCTGGATGGGAAGCATCTCCTGAGACAGTGCCTCCTCCCTCTGCCCCAGCAAGGGCCAGTTCTGCTGCGGGCGAGTTCCAGGACCCTGGGGTACCCCCACTGGGCCCTGTTGTGTAGGCTGGAGAACAGCAGGCTCCCAAGCCTAGCATGCAACAGCGCTGCTGCTTGCTTGGTGGACACAGTACCAGGTGCTGTGAGCCAGACCTTGGGCTACCTGCACGTGTCCACCTCTGCCTAGACATCTTCATCCCATGATTAAACTGGAAATGGTGCTGCTCTTGGCCCTCTAGACAAGAATGCCTGTGATGCTGTCTGGCATCCCTGCACAGCCCTGCTTTCTCCTCCACAGCTGCATGCTACCATGGGGGCAGGATCTGCTGCTGCATCCCTCAAAACATGCCCAATTCCACCTCTGACTGTCAACCATCTCCACAGTCCTTACAACCGGACATCGCTATTTTTGGTGATACCTAACATAAGGCCCCCCCATGCCCCTGTGGAAACCAGCCAGGGCGACCATCAGGGGAACATTGATGGGAAGCTGGGGAGTCCTGGGGAAAGGGGTACTGCAAAAGTAAAGAGCCCTGGGGTCCTGCAGCAACGTGAGTGGCGCAGGGGCCCATGGGGGTCACTGGTCACAACGAGGGGGAGCCGTGTACGGAATTACTTACGCTGTTTGGAGTTCTTGTCCTGCGATGAAAAACCCAGCAAAGGGTGGCCGACGCTGGGGCCCCGTTGGCTGCAGAGCCCCCAGCCCTCTGTGCCGGGCGCGCAGGGAGGGGGGCAGCTGCCCCAGTCCCGTGGAGAGCAGGAGTGACAGGCCAGAGGGGAACCGACAGCTGAGCGCTGGCTGAGGCTGACGCCGAGAAATTGGAGCCCATGCAGGAGCCAGGAGGGGAGTGGGGTGGAGAAGAGCCACTGGCTATTTGCGTTGGTGGGTTGCTGGGTGTGCCAGAGGCCCACCCACACCCTGGCATGGAGCAGCAGCAGAGCTGGGTCACACCAAGTGCTCCAGCCTCCGTGTCTGCTTTGCTCTTGCATTTGAGGCCTCTGTAGCTGGGACGGGAAAAGGAAAGAGTGGCAGCAGTGGGGTGTCTCATGGGGCAGCTCTCACGGCTGCCCCACAGCCCCTGGCAGCAAATCCTGGTCATCTGCCCTGCACTGAGACAGAGCTGCCACGGAGGAGAGAGCTGGGGACCCCATGGCTATCTTGCACTGCAGTGGGTGTCAAGTCTTTGGGGCTGGACAGGCACCCCAACATCAGTCCCTGGACCTACGTCCCTGCCAGGCTGTGGGTGGCAGCGGGGCAGGAGTTTGCACCAAGCCTGGGGTTGGAGCCCACTCCTTCCAGGCAGCTCCTACCTCTCCACTTGCACCTGCTCTTGAAGGTAACATCCAGATGCTGCAAGAGGCTCCAGCTGCTGTGTGCAATGCCACGGTGAGGGTGGTACCAGCCCAACTCCTGTACTCACAGGGCAGGAGGACACAGCGATACCTGCACCTATCAGCTCAAGGGCTGCTCCCCTCTAATCAGGAGGAATATGTTGCTTCCTGCCAGGGGATACAGCTGGGGACACCCCATGCCCCCATTCTTGTCATTGCACAGCTACATGGGGCCAGCAGCTGGAAAAAGAGGTTTTGAATATCTGACAGGGGGACCAGCCCTAGGGCAAAGTGCTCAGTGCTCCTCTCCCAGTCTTGGCTCCTAGCATTAGCAAGCCATGAGCGCGCAGCCCTTGCACATGCCAAGCATGGGGGCAGGTCCTGGGCAGGAACACATCTTCCTGTAAGCAGCCCTTCTGCTCCCTGGCTGGCATCTCACACTGAAGAGGCAGCACAGACAGCCCCTAGCACTGATACGGGCAGAGAATGGGGAAGCAGCATTAAAGTGATGGACAAGTTTTCTTGTTATATTTAAAAACAATCCCCCCCAATAAAATAAAACAAAAAATACCTCCCAAATAATAATCAAGATTAAATAAAATGTGCAGTGAACATACCAATCAACATCTGTATGTGCAGTTCAACACAGTGCTTAACAAAACAATATACACAGGGTAAGGTGGGTGGGCATGGGCATCACTCCAAAAATAATAATAATAATAATTAATAATAATAAAAATAAAAAAAAATCAATTTCTTGTCTCTTAATTATGTCCATATAAATATATCCAGGAAGGAGGGCGAGAGGAAGGGAAGGCAGAAAGGAAAAGAGAAGGCAGAGGGAAGTGCCCACAGTCCAGTGTGCTCTGTGCCCATGCGCCGTGAGCCCTACTGTGAGCTGGCACGCTCCAGCACCCGCAAATCGTAGTTCTTTTTGGCCACACGCAGCTTGAAGCGGCTGAGGGAGTTGTTGAGGCGGAGGGAGGCATTCTGGGCAGCCAGCGGGCTGGGGAACACGGCCACAATGGTGTATAAGGCAGCAAGGTCACTGTGCCTGCCGTTCTCCGGAGTCCCGTTGTCCCCACCGCCTCCATCTCCACGGCGCCCCTGAGTCTCTTTCAGCCACTGGATTTTGGCACCAGCCATCGCAAGCTGGGTGAAGAGCTTGTCAGCCTCTGTCCGCGTGATGCCCTCGGGCAGGTCTGTCACTTCCAGCACTCGGCCCAGCACTGCAGTGGAACAGACAGCATGTGTCAGTGGCAGATTATTGGGTGGCAACGGTACAGTGAGAGATGATGCGTGGGCTCCTCACCAGCTCTGGGGTTGGAGGTGTCACCTCGACTTGGCCCATGAAAGCAGTGCTTTGCTAAGCTGCCCCCACATTAGGAATGTATTTTTTTAAGCCAGTCACTTCTTCCCCCTCAAACTACCCCTACCATTCTGCTCCCTACAGTGCTGCATCCTGATCCTTTCTGAAGCCCACATCCTGGTCCCCACATGGCCTGCTTCAAGAGGAGACTGGTAGTTTGCCCAGGGCTCCAAGCAACACCAAGTCCTCCTTGCTTCCTTTGGCTGGGCTTGGCTTTTCAGTTAGGGCTTTCCCAGGTGCTCTGCCCTGTCTTCCTATCCTCATCCTCAGGTACCAGGACTGGGAGCTAACCTGGTTCTCCTGCCCCCTGTCTCTGGAAGGGAGAAAGACATCGACACGTGTGGAACCTGAATGTGACACTGCCCTGTGTGCTTCACCCAAGGGGAGGACCCCTTTGTGTGCCCAGCCCATTGCCACGCCAACCTCTTTGCCTCTGCTCTGTGGTACCCAAACACTTCTGCTGCCTCCTGGCTCCAGCCCTGACTTTTGGGCTTAGCAGAGGGCTGGCTGAATGGATTCTTTGCTAATATTAACGCGGCATGTAATGAACATGCCAGCCGCAGGGAGGGGGGCAGCTATCCGGCCAGCAGCTCTTAAAGGGCCCCCTGCAACCAGCTGCTGTCGTCGGTGGTGACGTGGAGTCGACACGGGGGACAAGTCTGAAGCCTCCAGGGAGTCAGTGAAGACTGCCTCCCTTCCAGGCTGTCTGGCTCATGCCCAACTAGCAGGTCTTGTATTGCTGTGCGGAGAAGCCAGACACATGCCTTTTCTTCCCTCCCTGATGACCCAGTGGAGACCTCCTGGGGCAAGGAACAGGAACTCCCCTCCCCTTTGGAGACAAATGATCCACGGAGGATTTCAGCCCTCACAGACACCCCTGGAAGATCGAAAAGATCTTTACAAAGATGAGGGCTCTGCAACTCCTAACCCCACTGAGAAATGGAAACATGAAAGGGAAGGGTCGCTTGGTAAGGCAATGGTGGGAACAAGACCTCCGGGGTCTGGACACTCACTTTCTGCTGACAAAGAGGGAATAAAATCCCAGTTCTGCCAGCTCTACCTGCTTCATCATTTCAACCCTCACAGAGGCAGGAATAGGGCTCAGGTGTCCTGGTGCTCATCACTGACTCTCCAATTTCTCCCCACTCTTCCTCAAAAGCTTTGCTCAATGCAGGCAGTGTTTACTGGGTTCCTGAGCAACCCCTGTCTCCCACCTCCTGATGGGCACAGTTGACTGGGACAGGCTCTGCTGCACCCCCCGGGCCCAAGCCAGGCCTCACGTGGGCTCTGTGTGGTGTGTGTTTGTGTGCATAGGGGAGGCAGTGGCAGGCAGAAACTGCTCTCTACAACCACCCCCAGCAATGGGTTCTGTGGGATACTGGTGTGGGGTACAGATGGCATCTGGAGTCTCTGCCAATGCCAGTTATGCCCATGCAGTGGGGAACAGTCAGAGGGCAAAGGAGGAACTGCTTGAGGAGGGTCACTTGCCTACATCACTTGTCCCAAGGTCAGTGGATGCTGACTTGAGAGCCTGCCTCTTGCTCCGGTTTCCATGTTTCATTCCAGTCTGTCCCTTAAAGAATAAAAATGTTAGTGTGTCACTGGAGGGGACACTGTGGCCTCACAGTGCCCACAGAGCATCCTGGCAGGAGGGGGGAAGACCAGACTTGACTAGGCCATGGCTGTGAAGGTGAATGAAGACACCCGGCGGAACTTTGCACCCCCTGGCACCTTTGATGTGACACCACGCTTGGGTAAGTTAGACAAGATCAAGGCACAGCCATGCTTCCAGGACACTCAAAGGACTTGAGGCTGACACTGCTTCTGGGCAAAGCTGGGAGCAGGATGAAATTTTAGCCCAGTGCCTGGCTCTAAGGAAATCCATTTACAGTGGCAGCTCTGCTGGATGGATGGCAAGAGTGTGGGTTAGGCAGCCTGCTGCCTAATCAAGGGATGTCCAAGCCCAGGGCATGGCCTGAGACTCACTTCTTAACTACTCCTGGGCCTACTACCCTGCCCAGAGAGGGGTTGTCCAGGGAGAGGGGAGGGGGCAGTCTTGCTCTGCTCCCAGGACAGTGAAAGGGTGGGTGGGGGTTTGACCCAATTTTACCTGGTGTGCATTGTAGTTGGGCTGGTTGTGGAGCAGCGGTGGGGGACAGATAGACAGATTATACTGCAGTGGCTGGCCCAGCAATGAGTAGCGCCCATCACCTGCAAAAAAGGAAGCAAATGTTTTAGGGGTCCAAAGAAATCACAGGAAAGACCCAGCCCTGTGCTGTCCCCACTCCTTTGCCTTACCTTGTGCTGGGCCCATGGGTCGGGGGAACTGTGTGAGGACAGGGAGGGGACTCAGCCCCGTGCAGACACTGTTGAGGTTGGTGACAGGAGACGGTGTCGGGGATTGGGTAGGGGATGTGATGGGGCTGTTCAGCTGGGTGCTGACCTGGGGGAGGGAGAGCGTTAGACAGCCCCAGTGCTTGTGACTGGTCCCATACCTGTCTCACCACCATGGAACGACCCCACCCCTACCTCCCAGCCCATCCAGACAGCACAGATGCTGGGGTCCTCTCTCTCCCGCCAGGCTGCTCCCAAAAGATGAGCTGCCTTCTTCCCAGTCCTCTCAATACCTGAGCACTGGTGTCTGGGTTGTACAGGTCTCCTGGCTTCTGCCCCCGCTGGTCCAGGCTGTAGTACTTACAGTGGCTCCACTGCACCACAGGGGGATTCTGGGGGGCCTGGGGGCCATTTGGTACATTCAGTTGCATCACAACCACACCAGGGCCTGATGGAGACACTCCTGGGGAGAGATGACAGCAGCAATATTGCCCAGGCTCTGTGCACTGCTGCTGCTGGGGCTTGCTGTGGGACAAGAGGCAGCAGGCCTGTCTATGCAACTTTGCATCCTTCCCTACAACACCCCCTCTGTCCTCTCCCCTCTGCTACTCCCGACTGCCCGGGTGGGTTGAAAAAAGGCCCCACCAAAACCTGGTTAGGATCCCTCTCTGGTATCACAGCTTATATCAGAAAGCGATGACTTTTAATTCAAGAGAAATACGAGCAGAGAGGACAAGTTGAAGGCAACTTGGGTGACCTCTCTGAGCATCACAGCAGAACTTCAGGCAAAGGAACTAATCACACAGCTGGACGCAGAGCTCAAGCAACCTGGTTCCAGCTCTTGCACCAATTCACCAGGCCCCAGCTCACTTCCCTGTAGCTGGGACAGAACGCAGGAATTCTTATGTTCCTC